AAGTATGGTCCCAATGACTGGTGTTACACCCTTCTAGCAACTCCAGCCTCGTTGCCTACTTATTTGCAGTTAATCAGAAAGAGTTTCATGGAAGTCAAGGTTACAAGGGATCACTGGATCAGCTAGTGTTGATTCCCCTATCCACTGTCCCATTGCCAGCTGTGCTAATCTCTGATGCTTCAAAGGAAGGCTAAAAAACCCCACATCTGGCTAATTATTCATTGGAAGAAAGGATTCCTTTACTATACCTGCTGGTTACCTTCTGAAGCCCTGAAACTTGGGATAGCGTACAGCTGTTGCAGTACCGAACTGCAAGTGTTATGAGCATGTTGAGAAAAATACAGGGAGTCCTCTTCATCCCAGAGCCCCTGAAGAAAAGTGATGAGAAAATAGCTTATAGTTTAAAGATTTCAGGTTCAGAAGGAATAAGTATGAATGTCCAACGCCTCCGCTACCCAGACACTTCCGTGAAATTGTGACAACGCATGTTAATTATATGTTTAGCCTCTAATGTTTCATTATTTTAATCAGGTTCTATGTGAGGAGGCTAACTGGTTTATAGTACCCTGATTTCTTCCATTAAAATAAACTATACTGACAAAGTTAAGCACTGGAAACCAGTTGGAAGGAACATTAACAGAAAGACAAAGGGACCAAACACTTGTTTTCCAGAAATACTGGAGGGGTTGGATGAAGATGCAAGCCAACTTTCCATGCAAGTAGAATTAAACAAACTGGAAGATAGGCATCGCTGTCTCAGTCAGAGCCTTGAGAGCGTTTCCTTGATCATGCTGTGTTATCTCTAGTATGGCACGCAAACCTCAGTTCATCATCTTGCATCTGCGATACCATGCTATCTCTGTCTATCTAGCACACTCATTATCTCTGCCATAGTTGGTTATCTTGACCATGGCTGTAATTAATGGATTATATTTATACATGAGCCAAGAAGCCTGGGTTTTGATTTTGCAAAACTAAACCTTAAACTCAGAAACTATTGGCATTCAGATTGTATTTTAGCTAAACTATAAAAGTTCTGCCATGAGTCAGATCAACGTTTAAGGAGTCATCGACAAAATTTGCAAGAAGTCATCCTTCTGGTCTGGCTTTTTCCAAAGCAGGAGTGGGTCAGGGTCAGATTCCTTTTATCTGAAGTTTCAGGTCTGGGAGAGTGATTTGGGGATAAAAGGCTCCAGTTCTGTCCTATCTCTAACGTGTTTCTGTGTATGCCAAAGTTTTGTGGATTCTTTTCTTATCTGTACCACTGGGAAAGATATTGTTTTACAGAAATATGGAAAACAAATTAAGGTTGGGGATCAAGGATTAGAGGGTTTTTTATGGTTGGCCTACTTTTCAATCTACCAGGTTTGATTGTATTTAGATTCAAAGCAGTTTCCATTCCTGTCTGCGAGGGAGAAGGACAGAGGGGGTTGGGAACGAGCTTACTGCAGCAACAGAGATCATGGACACACTCAGACCAGTCTGTACATTACCGAGAGGAGTGCATGGGGACGCCCTGCTGCCTTTTTAGGAAGCAGCTAGCCTGCACGTGGGCAGGCGGGGCGGATAAAAGGAGGAGATAATGGCAGACTGAGTGGGGAGAGAAGGTAAACAGAGAGCACAGAGATGCTGAGACTCCTGCAACTATTGATAATACAGATGAATGGTACCAGACATTAGGAAGAGAGAAAAACAGAGGCCTGTGGGAGAAGGGAAGCAGTGAGAATGCTCCAGAGAGGCAGGGAGTAAGAAACTCTGAGTTGAATTGACCTTAAGTTTACAGGCTGTCAGACGATTAAGGGCTCAGTAGAGATAAGGGGCATTTTTACATGTGCTCTGGGATGTGGCACTGGGTGCTTTAATTAGTGAGCTGTGCTAATTAAAAGCGTCCATGTGTCGTGTATCAGCATCCTCTCATGTCCCTGAGCTGAAAAATGGCAGTGGGGTGCTTTGAACTAAAGCTTATCGAACATGTATTATTTCAAAGCGCCCCGCCACCATTGTTTCAGCGCGGAGACTCACACGGATGCTGATACACCTGACGCAGAAAGCTGCCGGAGTGCGTCAATTTCCGTGGTCCAGCAGACTCGATTAATCGAGTCTACTCAAACAAACAGGAATGGAAACTCGATTAATCGAGTCTGCTCTGATGTGCTGGATTTCCAGTGCATTGGAGCAGGCGCCACACACGTCTGCAGGCGCCCAAGGAGTCTATGTGGTATTGACTTTGAGTTTAGTCCAATGACCTGCTAATATATGCACTTTCCTTTGCCTTAAGCACTTTACCTGTTTCATATTGGCACTTCAGTCCTAAAGCATGTTGGGGGCACTTGAATAAGTTATTATAGTAAAGCACTTTAGGAATAAGCAGGCAGTGCTATTATAACTGAGCACATAGCACGTGGGTAGGAGGGCATAGTGCAGTTGGTAGTAAGTACACTTTAGAGGCTAGAGGGACATGTGCAATATTAGACAGCTAAAACTGGGAGAAGACTCTGAGAGGGAGTGGACCAAGTGAACTGTGTGATAACTAAAATTGTGTTGGAAACCTCAAGGCTATGAACTGATGAGTATTTGGGAAAGTACAATAGCCGGGCAGAAGCAATATTGAATGCACCAGGCACCTTAAATCCCACATAATGTCCATAAGACTTTGGATAAAAGCTGATCATTGGACTAGCAACAAGAACTACACCCCAAATGGGTTCTTTTTTTTTTTTTACTGCATTGTGAAAGACAGTGTACTCTCATTGCTGTCAGACTTGACATATTGTTGACACTAAGGTGGAGTAAGGTTGAAGTATAAGGGGAAGTTGGAGCCCCAGAAACCTATAAAACCATTAAGAGTCCAGCAATTTCTGGACGAAGAGTATAGGGCTGCAGCAAATGGGACCTCCCAGTTGTAAGAGCTAAAAAACATGGTGGGCAGATTTCATCAGAAGACAGCCCCAAACTGCGAAGATAAGGAAACACGATGGCTCTTGTATGAGAAGAGATGTCATCAAGCAACAGGTGAGGTCAGTGACGAGGTCCAGAATGTATACTGCCCCTAAAGAGACTTTAAAGGCCCACCCTTGTGAGAAAAATGGATCACTTACCTAAGACATAGAGAAAAATTGTTACCACAGTTGGTCCCACATTGATAGACACAACCTGAACAACAGCCTTCATTATTTATGGGTCTGTACATATGCACACAGAACTTACACTGATTTAATTAAAATCCATTTTAGAATCCATTTAATTAAATCAGTGTGATACCATGTGGGTAGAACTGATTGAAAAATTTTCCAGAGCAACACCTTTATGTCAGAAAATGTTGATTGGACAGAGTACAGACATACCCTGAAAATGTGTCAGCTCTATCGAAACTTTCAGTGGAAATCAGGCATATAGCCCACCTAGCTTGTTGGGTCTCTAGAAAATATCCTCCCCTGATTTCTGACTCCTAGGCTAGTTTGTGCTGAAATGGATCACCTCTGTCAAAGGTGTCAAACATCCAGCCCATTGAGATGCATGATCTGGTCCACAGATTTTGGACTGATGCCACATCCAACCCCCATGCCAGCTGCATCACAAGCTGTGGAGCAGGGCAGTGCACACTGCTTGCAGCACAGGAGTGAGCACAATAACTACAGAATCATAGAAAATGAGGGTTGGAAGGGACCTCAGCAGGTCATCTAGTCCAACCCCCTGCTCAAAGCAGGACCATCCCTAACTAGATCATCCCAGCCAAAGCTTTGTCCAGCCAGGTCTTAAAAACCTCCAAGGATGGAGATTGCACCACCTCTCTGGGTAACCTGTTCCAGTGTTTTACTATGATCCTAGTGAGAAAATTCTTCCTAATATCTAATGTAAACTTCCCTTGCTGCAACTTGATTATTGTTCCTTGTTCTGTCATCTGCCACCACTGAGAACAGTCTAGATCCTTCCTCTTTTGAACCTCCCTTCAGATAGTTGAAGGCTGCTATTTAATTCCCTCTCAGTCTTCTATTCTCTACACTAAATAAGCCCAGTTCCCTCAGCGTCTCCTCAGAAGTCATATCCCCCAGGCTCTTCACCATTTTTGTTGCCCTCTGCTGGACTCTCTCCAATTTGTCCACATCCTTTCTGTAGTGGGGGGCCCAAAACTGGACACAGTACTCCAGATGTGGCCTCACCAGTGCTGAATAGAAGGGAATAATCAATTCCCTTGACCTACTAACAACACACCTACCAGTGCAGCCCAGTATGCTGTTAGCCTTCTTGGCAACAAGGGCACAGTGCTGGATCATGTTCAGCTTCTTGTCCACTGTAACCCCCAAGTCATTTTTTGCAGAGCTGCTGCCCAGCCAGTCACCCCCCAGCCTGTCCTGGTGCATGGGATTTTTCTGTCCTAAGTGCAGGACTTTGCATTTGTCCTTGTTGAGCCTCATGAGGTTCCTTTTGGCCCAATTCTCCAATTTGTCTATGTTACTCTGAATCGTAGTCCTATCCTCCATAGTATCTACTACTCTCCCCCAGCTTGGTGTCATCTACAGACTTGCTGAGGATGCCCTCTGTGCCATCTTTCAGGTCATTGATGAAGACATTGAACAAAACTGGCCCCAGGGCCAACCCCTGGGGCACTCTACTTGATACTGGCTGCCAACTAGACATCAAGCCACTGATTACTAGCCTCTGAGCCTAATGCTCCAGCCAGTTTTCTACCCACCTTACAGTTCATTCACGCAGTCCATACTTCCTTAGCTTGCCTGCGGGAATGTTGGGGGAGACCATATTAAAAGCCTTGCTAAAATCAAGGTATATCACATCCACTGGTCTCCCCACATCCACGCAGCCAGCCATCTCATTGTAGAAGGCAATCGGGTTAGTTAGGCATGACTTGCTGTGGCAGGCCACGTGCAGTGCCTGCCACTTTAAGGTTCTAGTTTGCAGTGGAGTAGCCGGAAGGTGCGTGCTATCCTCATCAAGGCTAGCACATGACCCTAGGAGGACCCTGGGATTGGTTGAGGGGGCAGAGCAGCTATTTTAACTCAGGCCCTGAGAGAGAGAAGCAGCAGTCTGAGCTGAGCAGGTCAGGAGGAAACATCAGGCTGAGCTGCTCAGAACACCCTGGAGGTAAGGGCGGGAGCTTATGGGGATGGTTTGGAGGCTCCTGGTCCTGGGCATGACCTAAAACTGCCCCCTGCCAGGGAAGAGTGGTCTGGTGGGGCTCCTAGTGGTGTGGGAGGCCCCAGGAAATGCCAGGCCAGTTACTTCCCCAGTGAAAGGTCAGGAGGGACGATTTATAACCCCAGCCCCCGCCTACGGGTGGGTTACCAACACTGGAAGGGAGTGGGGCCAGGCAAACCTGGAATCGGGGCTGCCTGAGCCCGGTGTAGGAGCCAGACACGGTGGCAGCCACCTGAGCCTACAGGGTGAAAGACTGCAGTGGCCCAGTGGAGGGGGGCCAGGAGTGTGAAGCAGCCCAGCGGGTGCAGAAGGCCCAGCGAGGGCCTGAGTGTGTAGAGTGGCTCTAGTGAGGGGCAGAACCACTGACTTGGTAAAACAGGTATACCAGATGTGACAGAAATATTGGAATCGACCATATGGAAGTACTGGATGTGACATAGAAACAGCTGCAAGGCATGAAACGTGTAAGGGGAGGTCAGAGCATGTACTTAGACCCTTATTATCAAGAGGTCAAAAAATGGACAGCCTCCTACCTTAGAAATAATATTTATAGTATTTTCATCAAGGTGTGGCAGGAGACTTCAGTGGGGGTGCTGCTCAGAAGAGGTGGGCAGCTGGCACAGAGACCTGGTCCTGAAAGGCCAGCCTATTACACTTGCCCTTGGTGGATCCATGCCACTGGTTCCTAATCACCACCTTCTTCTCCAAGTGCTTAGAAATGGATTAATTGAGGATCTGCTCCATGATTTTTCCAGAGACTGGGGTGAGGCTGACTGGTCTGTAGTTCCTTGGATCCTCCTTTTTCCCTTTCTTAAATATGGACGCTGTGCTTGTCCTTCTCCAATTGTCCAGGACCTCTCCCATCGCCACAAGTTTTCAAAGATGATGGCCAGTGACTCTGAAATCTCATCAACCAACTTCTTTAGCACCCTTGGGTACTTCCCATCTGACCCCTGGACTTGTATATGTCCAACTTTTCTAAATAGTCCCTAACCTGTTCTTTTGAGTGCCAGGCAACATAGCAGATCCTAGGCTTGATCTTCGGAGCTTGCATAAGTGACCAGTTTTAGTGACCCAAAGGTATTCTGTGTAGGACTGACGCTGACACTGGAAGCACTATTGAATTCTTAGCTTGGTCAGAGAGCATTAACCTGAATGCCTAAATATGTGGGGAACTCAGTCCAAGGTGCTAGTGCTGGGTGTAAAGATTCTTGTGAACTTCCCTGAACGGCCTGATACTAATTGAGGGGTTTGTTTGCACCTTGATGAAGGCGGTCTTTTCTAGCTAAATACGTTTTTTATTTCTCAGGTTAAATCCTGTCCTGTCATGGGTAGCAGAAGAGAATCAAACGGTTTGGGCATGCGGCTTCAAATTTATGCAGCAGAGTAAAACTTTGCCGACTAGAGTATCTTTTATACAGTGTTCTACAGAACTGAGTGGAGTTACAGTAGAAGGGAAAAAGCAGAAAGAGAGGGAAATTGAGGTCTATGCAAAGGAGAAATCAGGGATGAAATCTGTCTCTAGTGCAACTTCAAACAAATGGTAGGTAGGGCAACATGCCACCTTAGATACTAACTAGTGTAACCCCAGTGACTGTGGCTGAATTAGACCAGGGGTGAACCTGAGTCGCACATGACATCATCTAAAATTTGAAAGACTGTAGCAAGTTGGTAAAGAAAACCCGAACCGTGCACATTCCAGGTTCCCACAAGCGGCTCTAGCCCATGCTTTAGTTCTGAAGCGCAGGGCCTGCATTTGATAGTAGTTGAGGGAATTTGGTAAATTCTCAGCTAAAACTCAGGACACCAAGTGAGTCCTGGACACGATGGTGGTGTTTGAAATGCGGAGAACTATCGCTGGGCTGAGGTTTGCTATGCATTTCACATACAGATTACGAAAGGGAATCAGAAAATGATTGCTGCATGCCAACCTGTTCTGGATTTGAACGAGGGCCCTAGAGGCAAAGTCTTTGTATGCCAGACCTGTGTGAAGCAGACTGTCCTTAGGGCCAGAGAAGCTTCTGGTTTATTGGGAATCAGTAACTTAATTTCCTAGCACTACACTTTCTTCTGACTCTTTCAACCACGGCCTCTGCTTAGCCATGAAAGCCTCTCTGCACACTGAGGGCAGCTCTGAGGCAGGCTTGGGGAGAAAGCATAGGAGCAGCCTCTTATACAGTACTTGCCTTACCCTCCCCCCACCTCCTTTGCAGAGTCTGGCACCTGCCGGAGATGCAAGGATCGAGACCCTACCTATCCCATTCATAAAGGCAGTCAAAGGGGGAAGAAGCACCTTGTGCCCTCTCCCACCGCTGTTCCTCTCCCCTCCCGCACCCCCTCCCCTCAGGACTACTGCCAGTGACCGGGTTTGCATTACAGCCTCCGCATGTGACAAGCATGTGAATAATGTGGGGTTTGCCCCTCCAGAAGACAGAAAAAAGACAACTGAGCATTTTAAGATGAGAACCAAAGGGTGTGGGTCAGCTCTATTTAAGTAGAGGCAGAACGAGCCTATCAGGACTTCAGACTGACTCTAAAAAAGGGCTTTAGGAAATGGAGAAATCAAATATTGAGTGGTTGTTTTTGTAGGGGGAGGAGGGTGATTCTTCCCTCCTAATTAATCAGTTAATTATGATCTGACTCTCTGGCCACTAAGATGTGCAGTTGCCAAAATATTCAAATCGGAGGATTTTGGCATACCGTACTGTGTACGGTGTAGCATTTTGTTTTGTTGTTTTAAACAGCCCCTGTGAACCGCTGCTATGTGCAAGGGGCGGGGATGGGGTTGCCATGGCAAAATGGGATTTACTTGGGATGAATAGCTTTCTTTTACTTCCATGAAATGAATGGCTTGATAAAGACCTCCCTGTATATGAAGATTTTGGGTGCTGTGCTGGGTGGAGGGAACTCCAAACAATATCCCCACAGCACCATGTTATTCAGAAACCTCTTAATACAGCTCAATCTTATTACTTGCACAAAACAGTGATCTCAAGTGTAGATTGAAAGAGACAAAATGTTCCCAGTGGGCAGCTATCTGTGTCTCTTCCCCAGTCCTCCAACGAGGAGGATTAAATGCACTGACTGTAACTAGGACATAAAGATCATGGTTCATTTCTTTCTATTCAGCTAATTCTTTACATTGCAGACATTACGGGATCCATTTATGGTTTTCTTTTTACAAAAGTAGGTTGGGAGGGAAAGATATCTGCTGAGGAAGTTGTTTTCCACAGCCCCTCAGTGTCTTTTCAAATATAAACCTGCCTCTCCCAGCAGTCTTCTGCGGATATAAATCTCTATATTTTTCTATCTATTTTAGATAGACTATATCAGTGTTTCTCAACCTTTTAAGTAGCAAGTACCGCCTAACTTCTGAAAATTTTAATAAGTACCCCAACACTCCCTTTTCCAGGGGATTTTATATTTACAGACTAATGTGCACCATATGTTGGAAGAAGGGCTGTGTATATAAGGCCGTGATATGACAGATGTCTGATCTGGTGTGGGTAGGGTTGCCACCGTTTACACCAGAGGTGCACAACTCATATGTGTACCTGGGCTAGAGGTGATGTTGGCCAAAGCTAGGAGGGCTGAACCCAGTGCCGTGCAAAACGCGGCACACCAAATTATTACTGGGCAATTTAATGTTTTTAATTGCACCACATTTTTTGCCATAGTTTTGAGAGGAGGAAGGGGCGAGAGAGAGAGGAAAAGAGGGTGAGAGAGTGAGTGTTGGACTACCTGCATACCCCCTGCCTGTGTCTCGCATACCCCCAGGGGTACGCGTACCACAGGTTGAGAAACTATGGAATATATAAACTGTGGCTTAAGCTTAAGAAGTGATTGCTCACAACAGATGCAGTTAGCACCAAGACCAATGCCATAGCTGGTGTCATATTATGAAATAGCAGAAATGAACAGTAGTTAACATTTGAAGAAAATAACAACAGGGGTAGAATTGGAGTGATGTTGTAGCCATCATGGTCCAGGAAATATGCAGGATCAAGGCCTCTTTGTGGATAAGCTCTTTTTGGACCAACTGTATGGTTGGGCTATACTTAGACAAACTTTTGAATCCATTGCTGTGGGGGCTGGAGAATAATGCAGCGCGTTTGAAAACTTGCTTAAGCCTAGCCGTGTCAGGCAGTTGGTTCCTTAACAAGATATCGCCCACAAAAACCTTGCCTCTTGCATAATTAAAAATAAGGCTTTGCAACCTCAAGTATACAAGTTTAAACCGACTTAGCATTTAACTTCCTGCATTGTAGTGTAGCCAGGAATTGAGAATAAATGCTAAATAGTGACACAGCAATGGCTACAGGCCAACGGGGATCTTGCTTTTTACATCTCATCTGAAAGATGGCCTCTTCAGTGTAATGCCGGGGCACTGGTTTAGTACTGAAAGAAAAATATGTGAAGTATCAGCACCGCTTTCACTATGGGACTGGCGCTGTAATTCGGAGCTGCCTTTGGAGGGTGAGTCAGGACGTGGCGGGTAGGGAATCCAAATTCAAGTCCGGAAGTGAGTCCTTCACTTATCTAGGGAACGGGGATGTAACAAGGGAAGGCTAAAATCCCCCAGTGATGCCCTCTGACTGACCCAAGAGCATTATCGGTTTCACTTCAGACTATGTAGCATCCATCTCTTCTTGACAAGAAGCAGCATGTTGCCTGTCTGTGAAGTCATGGGAGGATACGAGAGAACAAGGACTGAGGGAACTGAGAGAGAACGACTTAATGCATTTTCTGTCTATGTACAGGAGGGCAGGGTTTGGTGTCACATTCAGTTCTAGTACGCTGTGACCTGTCTCTGCTTAATAACAGCTCCCTCCTCATTGCTGAAAGCAAATTCAGTAAAAATAAATATACCTATCCATGGAGCTGGCTCGGGGGCAACAAAGCAATAAGCCCATCATTTCATTTAAATTACAAGTTTTTGAGCTCTG